TCTGTCATACCCCATAAAATGCTTGGGGCTGCTGAAGCAGTCAGGAACATACGTAGAGGCGCATGGCATCTCATGTTTAAACACTAGCTGTTGGTATTTGTTACTTTTCTCTGTACTAGCTACAGCAACACTTATGATATTTTGTTGTTTCAATAGAACTAAAAGATGGAAGATTACCTACAAACATTGACACACATGTAAATGCTTGGAAAGCAGAAGAATTCCAAAAATTTGCATTCCCTGCTATGGAGGTTGTGATGAGTGGGCTTATGGATGAAAGAGAGTTTCACATTTTCCAACTAATGGCGAGAATGGTTGAGATGGTTTTTAACAAACGTGATGAATGGGATCACGATGATGTCTTTTTGTTTGGGAAATTGGCAAAACGATTCAACATACTAATTGAGGAGAACGTTGGTTTGCATGCCTGTGTTGTAACAGTGCACAATTTAATCCATGTTGAAGAGGATGTGTTCAGGTTTTCACTTCCAGACAACTATTGGTGCTTCGCTTTTGAAAGAGCGGTTAAGAAGTACATTAGTATTCCCAACAATCACAAAAATAGTGAATGCTCATTTGCCAAGAAGGAACAGAGATGAGAGTTTTTGAAATCATTGAATACAGAGGAAGCACCTTTACCCCATGCTGCAAAGATTGATGTAGACAAGGTAATCGTTGGTGTGACCATACTCAGTTCGGCTTTGATTTTAGCGTTTCTGCGTGTTAAACCGTCAAACTCAACATTGTTTTGTTAACCAAAATTATACCAAGTGTTTTGCTACCAATGGTTAAAAATGTGTTAAACATAAGTACTGTTTTACAGTTTTTGGCTTTGGTCATAATAGGTATACCCTGGCTACAGCTACGCTATAAATTATTTGGACATCATTTTATTATTTTTTCTTAGTCGTTTAAATAAAATTTTCTGTTTTAGATGGCTGCCAAAACCATAACTGAAGCCAAAAGGCTGGCCAAGAGTTTTGGAAATTCGCTGAATCATGCGACCAGCTGCAATGAAGGAATCCTTGTCGGCGGACTGAATTCCAATGGAGTACTTCTAACAAAAGAAGATCAACAACTTATTCTTACTTGTATGCAAGCATCTGGCCACGTTGAAGAAGTAAATATAGCATTTCAATTCCGGAGTCTCTTCAAACCACTTCAAAGTGTTGATGGTGTTCTTTATAGAGTCGACGAAGATATCGATCATTTATATAACATCTAATAATGTGGAAGAAGTGGCACGAGTCGAAGCGTTTTTATCTGTCTTACTTAGTGGAAGTTACTGCACATTAGCAAAGATAAAGCTGTACCAAAAGCTTGATGATGAAGACATGTTAGGTGAACTTAGAAATGGTGATAAAATTGTCGAAATATCAAATGAAATTGCCGTTATTACTGCCACATGTATTTATCGAAAGGTGATGTTGTACCCACGTCCCGCCGATGATATGGACACCATTGCTGTTGTAGATTTTGAAAGACCAAACTTACCAATAAACTTTGCAGATATTACTGTACCATTTTACCCCATGGTGAATGACATTGTTGTTATTAGAGGGGAAAATGACGAGATTTGGGTCGCAAAGATCCTCAAAGTATACACTGAAGAAAAAACTGTGAAAGTGTGGTACTACAGAGAGCAAGGACATGAATTGTTTGTACCAGAAGTTTCCTCACGAGATGCATTAGACATTGTCAACTGGGACTCTATAGTTCATCTTGCTCCCGAGGAATGGATTGATGGCGGTTCTTGATTGTATCTCTAACTAACCATACATTGTAATTCAAATATCAAAAATCTTGTTTGTTGATCTTCACGTCTGTCTGTCTGTCTGTCTGTCTGTCTGTCTGTCTGTCTGTCTGTCTGTCTGTCTGTCTGTCTGTCTGTCTGTCTGTCTGTCTGTCTGTCTGTCTGTCTGTCTGTCTGTCTGTCTGTCTGTCTGTCTGTCTGTAAGCCTGTTATTGTTTATACTGTGTATTTCGAATGTCTTGGAACCCCGTTATTGGAGAACTAATCTCTGCGTGGTAATTCCAGCCATGTAATTTATTGTCTAACTAATTTTGTGTAATAGTTTGTGTTAAATAAAAAATAAAAATAAATATCATATTCAGTCCTGCAGGACCCGCATGCAAAATAGCCATTAGATTTAAAAAATTTGATAAAACACGAACTGCGAGTAATTAATTAAAGTGCTTAAAATATATATAAACCATCTTAGTAGTAAAAATAAATTGAGAAAATGAACATGAAAATTTAGGTATTAATTAACAATGATTTTCATCACATCAATTCATTTGTGGTTTGCTCATTACCTGTAATTTAATTCGCTCAATGGTTCAGTAAACTCAGTTATGGAATTTGTCTCAATGATGCATTTTGTAAATACAGTAATGGATTCTGTAAACCCAATGATGGATTCTATTAATCCAACAATGGATTTTTGTAAACCCAATAATGGATTATGTAAACCCAATGATGGGTTCTAAATATTCAATAATGGATTCTATAAATCCAACAATGGATTCTGTAAACCCAATGATGGGTTTTATAAACCCAATGATGGATTCTATAAATCCAACAATGGATTTTGTAACTTCCAATGATGTGTTCTATAAATCCAACAATGGATTGTGTAAATCCAATAATGGATTCTATAAATCCAACAATGGATTCTGTAAACCCAATGATGGATTTTATAAACTCAATGATGGATTCTATAAATCCAACAATGGATTTTGTAACTTCCAATGATGTGTTCTATAAATCCAACAATGGATTGTGTAAATCCAATAATGGATTCTATAAATCTAACAATGGTTCTGTAAAATGTTCTCAGGAGATATTGAATTAAATCGTGGTCCTGTATTTCTGTATTAAACTCTGTTCGATGTTATCAGTTAAAATACTTATACATTTTGGTTTTACACATTATAGGGTTTATAATAATTAAACAAAATTTTTACAAACATTTTCAAATGCTAGTAAAGGAATCCCCACCCTTCCTCCTCATTACATTGTTATTTTGCTTTCTAACATTAATGTTTTTGTTTAGAGATTAATGCAAGAATGATGAATAAATGTACTGGATATTGGCTAGATAATTTTGTCAGAACAACCCACTTGCAAGACAATCTTATCTAAATTCATTAGTATGGATAATCATGGGCGTACCGGGCGGAGAGGGGGGGCGGCAACCCCCCTCCCCCAGTTTGTTGGGCAGTCGGGCAATATTCGTTGAACAGTCGGGCAGTTTTGGTTTATTAAAAAAATAAATTGGACAAATTCTGTCAATTTTGTGGTCAATTTTGTAATGTTTTCAAAATTTTTGTTAGGTTCCGGAAATTTTTTTTTGGGGGGGGAGGTCGCCAAAACAAATTCCGGAAAAAATTTTTTCGGTACTTGTCGGGCAAAATCCGGAAAAGTCGGGCAAATTTCTTTCCGCCCCCCTAAATTTTTTCCTTCCGGTACGCCCATGTGGATAATCTATATTATATGGGTGGATCAGATCCAATAATCATATATTATTATACAGGGCTTTCAGAATTATTTTGAGTAGGCGGCTGTGTCAAAAAAGTAGGCAGCTGTTTTGAAAAATGGGCGGTTGTCAAGGAAGGAAATGGGGAGGGTCGGGAGGGGTGATTTCGAGGAGTGTACAAGTCGTCCCAGTTAACTTAAGCTATAAATTTCAAACTGCAATCGGATAGCAAGTTAATTAGTACTCAAAGAAATAGAATATTTAATGTACTCTCTGCCTCTCTCTCTCTTCTATTAATATATATTGATTTGTATAATTAATATTAAGTCAACAGTTTCAAAAATTTACATCAATAATAAATACAATGTACATTTATATAAATGAATAAAAATGCTTTTTGTTATTGGTCAATCAGGAGTGTGTTAAACTGAATTGCAAGTTACTATAAGAATAGTAATCTCATGGTGATTGGGTACCACCTCGGAATCTTTTGATTTTAAGACTGAAAGGCGACGATCTTAATAATCACTTTCTGAATCCGAATCTGTATCCTGAAGCCCGTCAGAATCTAAGTCACAGTCCTTGGTCAGGTTTAACTCTGCGATAATGGCCTCGATTGCTTGATGATGATCGCCTTCCTCATTTAACATTTCATACTCGTCCGTTGAATCATTATCTAGAGTTTGGCTTTGCTGTATGTCCGCTTGTGTAAACAGAAGGACTATCTGAATTTCGGTCATCTGAGTTACTCAATAATCTAAATTGGAAATCTCTAGAAGAAAGACGAAATTATCTTAAATCTATTTTCATCTATAAAGTTCTGAATGGCCACACCGCACCCAATCTTAAAGAAGCATTTCATTTTAATAATGAAAGACATAATACTTACAATCTTAGAAATACGGATACTGATTTAGCACCACCTATGCCGAAAAAAGAATTCGGCAAGAGGTGCTTCAGTTATAATGGTGCCTTGCATTGGAATAATCTTCCCCATGAGGCAAAAATTGCTGAATCCCTAAGCTCTTTCAAGTCGATATTGAAACAAAGAATGAGTTGAAATTTGCTTGTGTATAATCGTGCAGCTAAAATCAATTGTATTTATTTATTTTGTTATATTTTGTATTTCCTGTATATAGTTAACTTTTTGTAAATAGGTAATTTCACGCCCCTCATGGAAACCAGCCTTCCAACGGCTGTTGAGGTTAGCGTGGTCTAAATAAAGTTCCTTTGTATGTATGTGGGATTTTCCATCGGCTTACCTTTGGCGAGTTTCTTTCGCTTCATAACGCACCACTTCTTTACTACATCTTGAATCAAAGACCCACAGTCACCGCTACTGATATCTGGTCCATTGATGGCTACGTGCATAAGTGAATCAAGCATGTCATTCTCGAGGCTGTTTCTTAAACGAGTCTTCATTTATATGGATGGATCAGATCAATGGCACACAATATACAAAACTAAACTTGTGATGCCTTCTACTCAAACCGATGTTCTCTCACAACACAAATTGTTTTGTGTGGATATGCTTTGTTAAACCGAACAGTGTGGTATATCATTAACTGTGCATTGGATTGGAATTGAATTATATACTTCACTCATGACCTTCAGAGCATTCTCTACTATTCAGTGGTCTTCGATATATGATTGACTCTTTGCTACAGTAATGCATGTTCCTCGAATAGTTTGTGTATGTTTCTCAACAGTTAACGTTGGCAATTGTAAACAACAAGTGACAGAACTTTTGCTTCATATGATTACAATAAAGTTTTGAAAATGGCTATAGATTGACAGGTGACAGTTTGCCAAATAGACACTTCGAATATTGTTTGCATGAAATTTTATTTTTTGACTGCATAATTATCTGAGTTACAATCATAATCACATAAAATTAGTTAAATTTACTCCGTGGGGGGGTGAGTTGCCCCTGCTGCCCTCTGTGCTGTCTACAGCCTTGTTAGATTTGTACTATGCTTGACTTTAAAATCTTATTTGCTATTATATTTATTATGTTAAAGGGGCCCTACAGTCATTTTTTAGTCGAAAGGTATTGTTTACATATTCTTGTTATTGTCGCTACTTGACATGCGCACCACGGCATGCATGTGTTTTCCGGTGTGCGGAAGAACTCATATTCATGGATACTGCATGTAAGATACACTGCCATACGAACCTCCGTGGAGTCCCCTACTTAAGGTGGCTTTTCGACTATAAAATGACTGTAGGACCCCTTTAAGTGATGAACATGTGAATCAAGTTTTTTCGCAGATACTTGTACGCGTCGCGTACCTATTTTTATAAGTTGTAGGCATAACGATGACATAAAAACAGCATGCAATATTTATTTATAATTTTTACCTGCATGTTTTATGCATGTTTGAAATTAATTATAGCTAAAATTTATTGGCGCCAGAGGCCCAGAGCTTTGTACCGAAAGTAATCATGCATGGTCAGAAGGGGATCCCTTTTACAGTGCGTCTACAGTAAGTGGGGCCACTTAGCGACCACCAACCAATCACATTGCAGAACAAAAATTGAAACAAAAATCATTAGCCAATCAGCATTAGGCCAAAAACAATTTGAATAAATAAACGAATGTCAAACGGTAAAAAATAGACTTGTAAAAGTAAACACTGCAGTTATTGGTTTCCTGAATCTTTCTTTTGATTGGACGAGCTTTAGTTTGATTAGATTGTTCTTTTTGTTCCTCAATGCGATTGGTTAGTGTTCTATAAGTGGCGCCCCACTTACTGTAGACGCACTGTAATTTTGGCCTTGGTACACAAACATGGTTTGAAGGAGTGTGGACTAGCTATATATATGTCAACTTAAACATGAAACCTATAGTATATGGGGTTTGCGTATTTGTTAAATTGTTTATGTGAATTATTTTGTATTTAACGTTTTAGATCCGAGTAAACTGTATTTTGCCCGGTGCTACAGCCACTCCACTTGTTTTGAAATATGCTGAATATGAAAAACCAAAGGCCACGATAGCTAGAACGCCAAGAGGTCAAATGGCAGGTATGCAATTTTTTACTAAAGCAATAATAAATAGCAGCCAGTAGCCGTAGGTATCACTTTTTGAAAGGTTAATAACTTCTGAAAGGTCATAACTTCTACAGAACTGATAAGTTATGGCCCTTTTGGACATCTAGGGAGAGGAGTTTAGAGCTGACAGAGCTATCCAGTAGAAATATATTTGGTTTTCAGTTTAATCGCATAACCTTTCCATGCATGCACCATTTCCGATTTAGTAGTTGACAAATCAATAACGCCAAGTTGAGGCTTGCTACTCAATTCAATATGCAACTAGCAATACATGTACGCAGTAACCCCTCGCTGCTTTCCAACCAAACTATAGTTGTTGTTGATTGCTTGTTTCTGCATCCCCAAACATATTTTGGAATTATATTCATTCTCTACTTAAAATGTTGCATCGTTTATAGGCTACATTCTAGTTTTTATAGCTTTTTATTTTCCCGACATTCGAAATATATGTGATTTTGAATGATCAGCTATGGATTATGTAAGTTAATCTTGTGCACACAACCGTTTGGGCATAAGATTTATACGCTAACAATTTATACATCATGTTTGAATGCATTTAACACAAGCATGGATGCTAAATTTACGCGGACTGTTAAGTGGCGTTGTACAATTTCCAAAATAATTCAAAATCAATTCCGTGCAATTTATCAACCGTCATAGAATATTCCTGGTTCTGTGCACTCGTTGCAATCAATTAGCCTTTCTCACGAAGGCCAAAATCCGCCATTTTTGGGGTGGGTACTGTCTGCCCTCGTGAAAGATTCTAGACAATTCAAACCGTATAAAGCGACTTTTAAAAGTTGTAACTGTAAATTTACCACTACAAACAACTATAATACTAATACTTTTTTTATGAGTGAAAATGATTCATTAAGGAACCTTTACAACCAATGCAATACTAAAAGGTTGTAAGTGGTGCAGTACCCCCAAAATGGTGGGAAAATCGGCCGTGAGAAAGGATAATCGTCAGACTGCATATGACATCGGTAAACGATTCTTCAAGTTAATCATTGAGCTGGTCTGCCAATTCCTTTTCAAAAAAAATTACCGACCATATATTACAGTTATCGAGCGTTTATCAATTGACTAATTTACCGACTGGTTCATTGAAAAGTGGGGGAGGGAGGCTTAACACCCCCGCAAGCTACGTCCCTGGGAATATCAAATCTCCGTTCTAAATTCCATCTTTCTTCCAATGCTTTGCCTATATTTTAGGAATGTTCGGTATGGGAAATTTCCGGTATCGGTATACCGGTTTTCCTTTGATAATAATAAAGGAAAATTCTTTAATGGAATTTTGAAAGAAATTTTGATTAATTCTAAAAGGGAAAACGATAATTTCGAAGCTGTTTCGAACATGTTTCGAACGGCATGCACGTACTCAGTGTGAAATCTCACTGAAGTGGAAATTCTAAATCATTGCAGTAGAATGTTCTTTGAATTGCCATTCAGTAGTAAAATAAAGGTTATGCTTTTGCCATATAGTTGGTAAATTTAACACGGTATACCGAAAAATTCCGGTATATCCGAAATTTCGGTATATCGGTATGGTTGAATATCCGGTATCGATATACCGATATTGATCTAATACCGATATTTTCGGTATATCGGTATACCGAACAGTCCTAGACCGCGATCATTGACGGGTGTGAATTTTCCTTTGTTCGGGTGTGAATAGCCGAGCGGAATTTAGTATCCCCGTTGCCACGGTGACTGATTGCCAGGTCATTCCCCACCTCGCAGAGCAGTGAGTTTTTGAAATTGTTCTGTAATTCCTCCATTTGCAAGGAAAACGCATACAAATTTATTATTTGTTAACATTAACTTTTCTACATTACATTGAACGATTCTACTTTCCCCTTTCTTGTTATCATTCATGCTGTGATCATATATGCAGTATACTGGCCTTATTTTAATGCAAGTTATTATTTATTTTTCATAGATCCGAAAGAGATCGCACACACTATCGTTTATTTACTGAGTGAATTTGCTAGTAATATTACTGGTGCAATGATCGCTTCAGATGGTGGATTTTTAGCTAATTAAACTGAATACAACATATTGTTAATCGATTAAGAGATGGTTTGGAAACTCATTAGAATAACAATATAACTCATGATCTATAGTATGTTAGTCAACGTTGATACAAAAATGTGGTCCTTCGTTGTTACATGTGTATTGTGATTTCGCCAAATCCACCAATAGCAACTTTTAATTTTTCAAGTCACTGATGTATCCAATAACCTTCCTAAAACATTGCCATTGGTAGTTCGGGCAAAAATACAATACGCACGTGACGACGAAGGACCACAAATCTGAATAAACCTGAACAAAAACATAGAAAATGAGTTATATTGTGATTCTAACGAGTCTCCAAACCATTTCTTCTATTAACTATGAATGCAATGAAACGAATTTAATTAATATATGTTACTATAAATTGGAGAAAAAAATTGCATTTAAAAATCCCTGCTCGGCGCCAACCATGGTTGCGCCTCGTGGGAGTCGGGCCCACTGAGTTTAACAAGCTTCCTACCCCCTGAGTGACCCAGTTGAGGTATTTACATAAACATACTAGGCATGGCCCGATTGTGCTCGGCAACTTTTGAGCAACTTTTGCGTTTGGAGCAACTTTTTTCAGTTCGAGCAACTTGAAGCAACTTTTTCGTTTTTGAGCAATTTCTGAGCAACTTTTAGGCTTTTTACTAAAATTAAAACTTTACAGCTTGCAATATTGAAATGTTTACAACTTCATTTTCTGCGATATATTTCTGTGCACATTCTGTATCAGTACAGCGTAAAACGAAAGCTTCCTACCAACAAAGGGAAGTATATTTAAAGCAGAGAGGAAGTAAAACACCTGTTGCTACAAGTGCCTCTTGTTAATTACAAGAAGTTCATCCGAGCGTGCAAAAATTGTATAAATCTCTTGATTAACATAATACTACGGGCAACTTTTTGAACTTTAGTAGCAACTTTTTTCTATTTCGGGCAACTTCGGGCAAGTGTCTTCAAACAAAGCTTCAACGAATCATAGACTTTCATCATAGGAGTTAGCCTTCCAGTTATTATTAGAGTTCACTGAGGCAACCTCGTTCCCAGGGCTTTTCCCTTTTTGTCATTGGGAAGGCGGGAAAAGGCCCTGGCACCGGCATATTCGTGAGGCGGACGTCTGCGAAAACAGTACCAATTAAGCTTGATCCTATATATTATGATTGGCTATTTTTATACACTTACAATTGGCTGAATTTTGTGAACTGTGATTGGACGAAACAAACAGCTAAGTTATCCGCATAATGTAGGGTGGTTGCTCCGAGAAGTGATACACAAAATTTTGTTTCGTTTTGGCCTGTTTCTCATGATTAATTTAGTATTACACGTGAAATTAAAAATAGCTCTTGAAAATAAAAAGAGGCCAAAAAGAAGCCAAATGGCCAAATTTATTTTTCGAGGCCAAGCAAGAAAAAACGAAGCCAAATTCGAGTTATTTGGCCTCCAAGAGGCCAATCTGGCAACGCTGGTGAACGTCGACATTGCGATCAAAAGTCCTTGCGCAAAGAGGGGGCCATATTTGTACGTATGCACGTGAAGGAAAACCCCTTCAGGATAATTTCCGATTGGTTAATCCCAAGTTTGCATCAGTTGTTCACATGCTTAGCAGCCAAAGTTCGATATTTATCAGATATTTTGTAATATTAACAGGGCTAGAAAACGGTTCCCTTGTTCTGCCAAGGTACTTGGACCTTGTACGTACCTGGTACGGATTAATTGTTGTGACGCAGATGCGTTGGCAGACTGAAAACACCCTCGGGCAGATAGAGCCTTCAGAACATATTACTCCATTAACCGCAATTTATAGCTTTGCTTAAATTGATTATTTAATGGTATCGGTTACCAAGCCACTTGGTTCTTATTCTGCGACTCGGTATCGCCAAACAAAAAGCATCTGCCATCTGCGGAGGAGAGTTTTAATATTTCATTATTTCGACTTGCCTGAAGACTTTTATAATGGAAATCAACTTGACTGGGAAAACAGCTTTGGTAACTGGAGCTGGAAAAGGTGAATTATAAACGAATTTATAGTAAGATCTAAAGCTCTGACTCTATGAATAATTTTCATTGAAGGACATAATTTCCCGAATACATTCAGGCACTAGGCTGCTCTATTAAAGGTAGACGCGTGGCCAGAGGGAAGGGTTACAAATTATCGAATCCCTGACTATTTGTCAGTTCAGTGCCGTAGCAAGCTCGGGGGGGGGCTCATATTCATATATTCGTGTTCACAGACCATAAAAACAATCGATTTCAAAAGAAATTAATAACGTAGAACACGAATATATGAATATGACCCCCCAATTATCGAGCTTGCTACAGCACTGGTATTAGACATGGGCATTACATTGTAATGGAAAATTTTATATGCCATGATATTGCATGTTTAAGTATGGATCCATGTTTAATCGTGGGTGTACCTGGCAGGAGGGCCCCCAATTTTGACAGAAATGTTACTCAAATTCTACTTGAGAGTTGAGGTCCACGAAAACTGGAGCAAAACTTATTCATAATGAATTAAGTTTGTGCACATAGAACATACTATAACTTACTGTAATTAATTGAACATACTGTAATTTTGCATCTTGGACACTTCTAAATTTCAACACAATTTAGTTGTCAGGGGGCAGGGATGTGCTGGGTCTGTCTTGAAAAGGATGACGAATGAGCAACATGTGATGGGGCCCAGGCCCAGTGACAGATGGATCAAGATTGAGGTGGGGGTATTAACTGATCAAACATGAAACATTTCAGTCGTTAATTAATCTTTTACCCCAAAATTGTTGGGGGGGGGGAAGTAAAAAAAAATTCTGGACATACCACTTTTCGTAACTTTCAAATTAATATAATGTACCGTAATTTGTTAAATTCTTCGGTAATATCTTCGTAAATTGGGTCGTTCCAGAAAAGATCCATACCCCCCCCCCTACGGAGGAAATGGAAAATAACCCCCTCCCCCCCTTCGGACATCCTTGAATGGTTCATCCTCCCCCCCCTCTCCGGACATCAAAGCCCAAAATTACCCCTCTCCCCTTCGGACATCCACTATTTCTAAATTTTTCTAAAGGCTACCTTGCCGTTTGAAAACGTCACCGAAAATTAGACTGCGTTCACACTACGCGCAAGCGAACTAATGCGGGCAGAATTTACGTGTGTTCAGACTATGAAGCCATTACAGTTTGTTTACAAATTGAATTAGCACTCGTGTAAACCCAAAATATTTCAAATAGACCCAAGAAATTTAACTGAAAAGCATTCGAGTTTACACGTTTGTGTTCACACGAAGCTATCAAGCGCTCCGCCGTTTCACCTCGCTCCGTTTAGAAACTGTGCTCAAATTGTTACGGCAAAAGTGACGTTAAAGTTTTCAAACGATTTCGCTCCAGCGTAGAGTGAATTAGCGATGGCTTATTGTGACTTTTCTACGCTGTTTTCAAATAGCTCCGGCGTGGCGGAACACTTGGCGGCTTCTTGTGACTTGCGAACACAAACACGTGGCAGGTGTAAAGAACATTACTACGAGGCCTGCACGCAGGCGACGATCTGAACCTAAACTCGGGCCAGTCACGTGACTGAGCACATTGTTTTTGAGAACGAACGCTTTTTCGATATGTTTGTATATTTGTAAGTGTGTTTGTCGAAGAAATATATGGATTATGTAAACAAAGTTTCGGCTATAAATCATTACATGGCGCCCAACGTGGGGCAGCTTTGATTACCTGGTATCAAGCTAAGGCCCAAGCGAAAATTCGAGCGATATTATGGCTGAAACGAAGGATAAACTCGATCGATTGAGGGCGAAACGAGGCGGTTATCGTGGCGTTTGTACGAAGTTAACTAAGGAAACCGAGGAAATAATTCATGCGGATGAAATTGATTACGATAGATGCGAGGTTATTCGCTCTTTACTGGAAGAAAAATCGAAAATATTAACGGATATAGACGAGGAAATATTGGGAATATGCGAAATTGCGAGTATTGAATACGAGATCGAGGAATCAGCAGACGTTATGGGACGAATACTCGGTGCAAAACGTAAACTTGATAAGGTGAAAGTCGAAGCGAAGAAAACGGGAAATACGAAGGCCTCAACGGTGACAATTCAACACGAAAATGGAAATAATATTGCGACGACAAGCAGCGAAAATTCGAGCGAAGTTACGATCCACGCGAGCGATGTTACGAATCACGAGAGCGGTAGTGAATCGGGTGGAATTATTAATACGAGCAATGGTCCACCGGAAGTTGGTAGTATGGGGGAACATGGGGCAACAGAATCGAATCAAATTTCGGTATCTTCTTTAAAACCTAAGTTGCCAAAACTCACATTGCCCAAATTTAAGGGTCAAGTCACCAAATGGGGTCCTTTTTGGGACTCATATAATTCAGCTATACACAATAACAGTGTAATTTCGAAGATCGACAAATTTAATTATCTCAATTCCTTACTTGAAGGTGCGGCCCTACGTGCAATCCAAGGTTTAACATTGACTACAGCAAACTATGACGCAGCAATCGAAATTCTAAAGGACCGTTTTGGGAGACCCCAACAAATAATCACAGCCCATATGGATGAGATCCTGAAATTACCAGCATGCACCAGTGAACGATTGGCTTCACTACGCTTTGTATATGACAGCCTTA